TCATCGAAGGAAGTCACAACAACCCCGTACCTGATACCATGCCAAACATCCCCAAATTAATAGGTCCTGACCGTAGTACCCTACCTCAGTGACCACACAAGGTAGTAGCGTCGTGTCCCAGCAGCCCTTTTCAATGTCGAACCAATAACCATACCGAAGCAAAAGTCCCCCTGACATAGCTGTTTTGAACTGCAGCAGCCTGTACCGTTACCATACCAGTTCAATGCCGAATACAGTATGTGTAGCAAATGTGCCGTACCAGGACCGGACAAACCAATATACCGTGCCTGTCCCAAACCAGTGTACCGTGGCTGCTGCAAACCAGTGCCCACACCAAATTTGTAGTGTTGTGCAACAGCAATCTGTTCCCAAGTCGAGCCGCCGACCGCACCGTATGGACCATGCCACCGTAACTGGAAAACCGGCCCCGCTGATTCACCTACCGACGTTACCAATGCCCCGGAAAATACGGGTCCCGCTCACTCACTAATACTCGGAATATAGCGAGGGTGATAATCAAAGAAATCAGGCGATGTCCAGCGAGGGGGTATATAAATAACAGAAATCCGTTTGAATCGACAAAGGGGGATAAACAGATAATTTTTGGTTAAAATTCATCAAAGGCAGAATCTGATAAAATTTTGTTTAATAATAAAATAATCATTTGTTTCTTTCCCTTTTTATCCTTTTTAATTTGTTCCCTCATCTTTCATTTCTTTATTAGATTAAACGTAAATTGAGGCCTCACTTCCCGTCGATTGGTCAGCGCAGAAAGTACCGCGCAAAGGGTTACTCATCATACCCTCGCCTCACGACCGCCGGACTTAGAGATAGCCCCTGAACCTATAAAATAGGTAGGTATCAGGGGCGGTAGAGGCAACCATTTATCTCGTTAATTTCAAAGGTTACTTTCTTCGATCGACGCAGGAGATTTTACAGTTCCTCTGAGGGCCCCTAATTTTTCCCGACAGTCCCGACAAGAGTACCCGACAATCCTCAACTAGGCGTTCGGTTGAGGGACAAATTCCTCGTAGGTCGGGTGGCCGACCGGTCTGCGGCCGCCCGACACTGGTTCCGGAAGGTGGTGCGTCACACGGACTGAACATTTGTACCGCTGCACGCATCCTTGGAGAGGGAGAGAGGACAAAGGAGGTCGCTACCGTTTCTGCGTTGGACCTGAGCGGTTGTGCAGGTCCTGAGAGCCCAAACGAGTCTGGGACTGACGACCTAGGCATCCCTCCTGGGAAGAGGCTTTATGGATTCGTGGTAGAGTTGGAGGCGAGTTTTGCTGCAGTCGAAGCAGAGTCAAGTGGTGGGGCGGGGGAGGGTGGTGAGGGAGAGGCGGGTGCCGATGCGGATGCAGATGGTGAGGAGGCGAACACAGAGGATGAGTTGACCGCACGAGGACTGAAGCGCAAACACAACACAACATCAACGACCAGTGATAGACCACCTTTGAATCCCAGCCGCCATGCGAGACCATCCAACACGTTTGCTCTCGTGCGAGGAGGATTTAGAGGTTTTTAGTTCCCCTTGTGGTTTTGCTTATTTCTTTTTGTAGACAGTTTCTGATATGTAGGAATAGAGGATGTGTGATGCATTTGGACAAACGCGTGAGTTATTTTATCATTCGTCTTATGTCTTGCGTCATAGTCAGATATAAGAGTTAAGAGGGTGGGGTGGGGGGGCGGGGAGGGACCAGTTTGGAAGGTGGTCTAGGTCCCACATGCATGAGAACGGAAATGGAGTGCTGGTCCGTGTGTAAGAGTAGAAAGCGAACAAGACGTGAAGGGGTATTGTGTAGTATTTGCTTCAGCCTTCTCGGATGGCCGTTGAGCCAAATTTAATCATTTTTGACTGCATAGTTTTGCTTTTTGTTTTTTGGAGGCCTGTTTTTTTCCCGATGGGACCAGTGGAAACTGGCAGCGCCATTATTGCAAACTGTAACTCAGAAGATTTTTCTGGCCTTCGGTTATTCATAGCATTTTTTATAGGAGCAGTACTGGGAACAGTGGCCGTACTAGATTAAACTTCATTAAAGTAAGTTTGTTGGGAGTTGATCTCCTCTTAGCCTGAGCAGCAGGACAGAAGGGCTGAGTGCTGCTGAAGTTGGCATCGGCGACGTAGGGTGTTTATGCTGTGAGGTGTAAAGTCCGAACACCTGATTTTGTATTATATATTATCTATAGTCAGATATGTTGGAGTCCTAGATAGCAGTTGCGATAATTTTGTACGGACATGGTGGAATTTTTTTTTCTCTTCGCAGATTTCTTGTAAAGGGACTCCGGTTATCATCCCTTGAAGTATTGTTATTGGTCTTTGGAGTTTATGTACCATTTTAAGAGTTCCAGTTTAGGCTTCGAGATTTGATTGTATGGCTGGCATTATCTCCACTCCTTCCCTGAACCCTAAACCCGAGAGCCTAAACCCAAAAACCTAACAACCCCACAACAGTGTGCGGGTGTATGCTATAACGTTCAGCATGACCAATCTCGTGAGTGTGTGTGTGTGTGTGTCACGTTGTGTGTGTGTGTGTGTGTGTGTGTGTGTGTGTGTGTGTGTGTGTGTGTGTGTGTGTGTGTGTGTGTGTGTGTGTGTGTGTGTCTACGTGTGTGGTTGTGCGTCTGAGTGTGTGTGTGTGCTTATGTAACAACGCTTGCACCTGCTGCAACCGCTGAAACAGCTGCAGCAGCTGCAACTGTTGTAGCTGCTGCAGGTGCTGAA